TAGCGTCCGGTCAATTTGAGCTGCTGCGTCCGGTCATCACTTGACCGTTGAGATCGAGTGCTCAGTATTTGAAGAGAGGGGACACGTGGCGTGCATCGCACGACCAGACGCTGAGGTCCAGCATCTGGTCAATATGACCGGAGCGTCCGGTCACCCCGTGTTGTGCCCAGTGAAGGGGTACAACGGCTCTATTTCTTGGGTGCTTCTATTTAAGCCCCATGGCTGGCTCAAGCTTACTCTCTTGGCCAATTGCATTGACATAGCAACCTTGTGAGCTTAGCCAAAGTCCTCCCACTCATCTCTATCATTGATTCATCATCTGTGTGAGATTGGGAGAGAATCCAAGTGCATTGCTTGAGTGTTTGCATCTAGAGGCACTTGGTGTTCGTGTTTCGCTGCGGGATTCGCTTGTTACTCTTGGTGGTTGCCGCCACCTAGACGGCTTGGAGCAGCGAGGATCGTCGAGCAGAGGTTGGTGATTGTCTTCAGCTTCGATGGTGGTGATTGTGAGGGGTTCTTGACCTTTCCCCGGCGAAGAGCCAAAAGGTACTCTAGTGAATTGCTTGTGGCTTGTGTGATCCTCATCTTGTGTTGGTTGTGCGGCACCCTATTGAGAATTTGGCGTGTGATGCCAATTAGCGCGTGAACCTCCAAGTGAGTGAATCGCCACAACGAGGACTAGCTTGCCGGTAAGCAAGTGAACCTCGGTAAAAAAACATTGTGTCATCATTTGATTCTGAGGTGATTAGTCTTTATTGGTATTCATTCTTGTGATTGATTGGCTCCTTCCTCGACATGGCGGTATAACCATCTTGCTCACTCTCTCTACATTACCGCAAACTAGTTGTCAAGCTCTTTAGTGTAGCTAGTTGTGAGAGCTTGTTAGTTTGGTAAGTATGGCTCTTTAGTTAGCCTTTGAGAGCACACTAACTTAGTGTAGTGACACAGCTATTGTGTGGATAGAAACTATATAAACTAGAATTGTGGTAGGTTGCTTGCATTTTTAGTAGGCTAGCGCAACACTTGCTTTGCCTCATAATTGTCTAACCGGATTGCTAAGTGTTGTTGTAGAAATTTTTATTAGGCTATTCACCCCCCTCTAGCCATTAGGACCTTTCAAAGGAGTTTCACCATATGATAGTAAACAAAAAAGAGAGGTAGTAGTGTACCCTAGTGGAGCCCCCGAGCGACCCGGTCCCAAAAGTGTTCGGGTCAGGGTGCTCTTATAGGAGCAAACGCTAAGTAAACAATAGTAAGACTGAAATTTAGGGGAAGAAAAAACGACATAGCTGTTCCAAGCGTTTGGTGAGTCATCGTTGTCGTCCTTCAGTCGGTAGACGTCCGGTCGGATCACTTCAACCTTCTGTCGTCCGGATCCTTGTCCGCTACGCCCCCTTTCTCGGCCGCTGCTTCTGCGCCTTTTCTTCCTTTGGCCCGCCGGCCTGTCGTAGAAGGCGCTTGAGGAGCTCGCAGTCCTTGTAGAGATGTTTGATGGGGTAGTTGTGGTTGGTGCACGGGCTCTCCATGAGCTCGTGGAAGTGGCCCAGAGGGTCCTGCTGGGGCTACTTGCCTGTGTGATCAGCCATGGCGACCAACACGGAGTTGGCCGGTCGGCGGTGATCTTTTCTGTTCTTTTTCCACTTCTGCATGGAGGCGCCCTCGTCCTGATCCTAGCGCTTGGCCTTGCCTTTGCCTCGACCTCCGTTGGAGCGCGGCGGGAGTGGCGCTCGCTGGAGGTGTTGGACAAAGGTCCGTGGTCCCGGGACAACAGGGCTGGGACTCCGGTCGCTGCTGCATGTGTCTCAATTCGGCCCGAGCCGCGCGGATACAGGCGGTTGGTGCGGAGCGGTCATCAAGTCAAGACGAGGTGCCGATGTGGCCTCTTGTGCCACACTCGGCGGTTGTAGCGGTGAGCGGGTGGAGCGACTCGTCTGCTGCGTCTCCATTCCCCTGGTGGGGAGCGAGGCCGTGAGTCGATGTCGTGATACGAAGCTCTCTGCTTGTTGAACGGCGGTGGTCTCCACTAGTGCCCGGAGGTTCCGGTGGATCGCCTGTTCCTGAGGGTCGTTCGGCTCGGGAAGGCCGCGCAGAAGCATTGCCGTAGCGGCGATGTTCTGATTGGCTCGAGCGAACTATGGGGGATCGTTCCCCCTGTCCATGGTGTTGCGCTAGACCCAACGGGTGTGACCTCGGGCTCCGCTCGCCGGTCTATGCGCGTGGGGCGTAGTGTGGTGCGACAAGCGCGCAGGCGTAGTCAGTGGCTGGTGTAGCCACTGTTGTCGTAGTTCCTCGTCATGCTCCTGTGTGAGCTCGGTGGTCTCTACACGAGGGTTCGGAGGGGTGTGAGTCTGCAGGGACTTCGTTACCACCGGTGGCTGTCCCAAAGCGTCCGCCATAGCGCACTCCCAGGACGGACGGTGGCTAGGCGCCACGTCGCCGATGCTAGAGCCGTCACTCTCAACATCATCATCCATGAGGTCGAGGAAACAAGTGGGAGCATAGCTCGCCATCGCCATGAATTCGGACGTGAGAGGGGGCGGCGCCGGCATCCTTTGGAGCCCCCGGGCGTATGCGTCTGCGGGAGACGTGAGGCCGTAGGGGAACCGTTCGTATGGCGGTCGCGACAGGGACAACGGGGTCCCTCCGGGTAATCGGCAGAAGATAGAAAATAGCAAGTAAATAATAGCATGTACATTACTCACAGCGGGGTTTGAGCAGAGAGTTTGCTCGGAATGAAGTGTAGAGGCCTCATTATTGAAGTCGTCGTGCATCCCGAAATCGATCGAGGGCGCCCCTCCGATGGGTGCTGGAACGAGAGCCTCCTCGCGGAAGTGTAGTATGCCGAGCCGGTCGGCGACGAAGTCCAGGCTTCCGAAGAGGAAGGCCTGGGATGGCTCGAAGATGGGTGGAACCCGCATCCCAACCGGTCAGAGAGCGGGGAACTCGAGTGAGCCGAAGCGAATCGTATCGCCTGAGCCTGCCATGGTGAAGGTGGCGGAAAAGTGGGCCATCCGATGACCAAAAAGTCTTGAACGTACAACGTCTTCCCCACGGACGGCGCCAACTGTCGGTGTAGAAAGTGACCAACAAGTAAATATTTGTAGTTTTACCGTACGTTGTCATCGGAGGTGGCCTAGCACTCAATGACACAGGGTTCATACTGGTTCAGGCAACGTGCCCTACGTCCAGTTTGAGTCGGTCGGTGACTTTATTCCTGAGCCTAGGTGCTCGAAGCTTGCAGTGGGGTTACAAACAAGAAGGAGAAAGATGCGGGGTACTAGAGGTCCAGTCGGAAGGGTCGAGAACGACAGGAGCTCCGCTATGAGCTAAGTGTTCAAACATGTGCTTGGGGTCCGAACCTGGCGGTTCTGTGGTTGTGAACTAGTGAGCTTGATCGATCTAATGAATCTGGAATCACTTGAATGGATCTGGATTAACTGAGTCTCTTGGGAGAGAGTGCATCCCCTTTTATAGATGAAGGGGATGGCCTTACAAGTGAGGGAGAGAGTACGAATGCTTCTAAACCTTGCTGCCCACGCCGGCGGGTACAGGATGATGGTAGGCGCCCACAACACTGTTGGATGTCGGATGCACGTGGGAGGCTGCGTTGTTTTGTTCGGGTATGGCAGATGTCGGTACTTGCTATACTGTTAATGCCTAGAGGCGCGTGAAGGGTTTTACCATGTTCACTCGGTATGGTAAATGCAGGTGCCCACAACACTGTCGATGCCCAGAGGCATGTGGGGGGCAGCCTTACCGTATGGGAGTTAATGGCGCCCATAATACTGTAGGGAAAATATCGGCGCCTACAACACTGTTTGTGTCAGGGCGGTTACAGAGTACTGTTTCTGTAGGTGTACAGGGTACGGTCCCTGGTATCGTGGTTCGACTTGGGTGCCTTGCCTTGCTTTCTCCGTTCGTTCCCTGGTCCTTTCCGGGCGGGCGTCCCCGGTCGGTCGGTCCCAGTCGGCTCTGGCTGCGCCAGTCGGAGAAGAACGGTGAGCAGGGTTTTTGCGTACCCCGGTCGGCGACGCGGGGTCGGAGTCGGAAGTAGTGTCTCGGCCAGACCTTCCGGTCGAAGTGGCCGTCCGGAGGCGGGCTGGAGATCGAAGTGAGCGCTCCGGTCGGAGAGGAGGGCCAGAGTCGAAAAATGAGCATCGTTCCTCCTTGGCCAGACCTTCCGGTCGGTGATTGGATCGTCCTTCTGACCTGTTGTTCCGATACTTGGGCCGGCCCATGAGTTGCGCGTTGTCTGCTTGGGCCGAGTCTTTGTTGGGAAGCCGGTCCGCGAGGGACCCCGGGTTTATGAACCCGACACACACACTCATCCCTTGAAACACATTTGTACACTCTACACCTACGAGTACCTTTGATAGACTAGATTAGTTAAATTAATTTATTGAAAAGATACAAAACAATATATATAGAATATCAAAAAAATGTGAATATCTAGAATATCAATTTAGTTTTACTAAATTGTTCATTACACATATGTTTTGACAGGGCAACCATAGTTTAAAATAAATGAATTATGCCAAATTTCTAAAACATGCACATGCGTGAACCTAAGCCGTTCCACGTAGTTTTTTTTTAATAATTGTCTGAAAATTAAACCGCCTTTTGAGACGGTTAGAAAGTTTGAATCTAGCTAAACATTTATATGACTGGTTTCTTATGGCAACCACATCTAATAATTGTCATAGCCGCCTCTATATTATATGACTGGTTTTTTATGTCAACCGCATCTAAAATTGTCATACCCGCCTCTATAAAAAAAATCAGTCTCTGTGATGTGTTTCTCGCTCTTACCTTACCCCACAATTTACGGGATCAGAGGAAAATGTAGGGAAAGTTGCTCAGATGTTGTCCTAACTCATAGCCACATTTGTCAACAGAGCTACTTACAAATACACATGCACACCAGCAGACGGGGGCTTCCGAATTGTGAAAGCCAACAAGAGAACACTGCTATTCTGCTAAGTTCTAAACACAAGAAGCAAATGGACGCAAAGAAGAAACGCGTGGCGATCGTCGGAGCCGGCCCAAGCGGCCTGGCGGCATGCAAGCACGCGCTGACCAAGGGCTTACGCCCCGTGGTCTTCGAGTCCGGCACCGCCGTCGGCGGCGTGTGGAACCGGACGCTGGCCTCCACGAGGCTGCAGACGCCGGCGTCCGCCTACCGGTTCTCCGACTTCCCCTGGCCGCCGGCGTCCGCGGACGACGAGGGGCTCTCCTTCCCGCGCCACGACCAGGTGGCGGAGTACATGACCGCGTACGCGCGGCGCTTCGGCGTCCTGGAGCGCGTCCGGTTCGGCTGCAGGGTGCTCGGCGCCAGCTACGTCGGGGCGACGGAGCAGGAGGTGGCGGCGTGGGAACGCTGGTCCGGGAATGGCGAGGCGTTCGGCGACGGCACGGGCGAGTGGCACCTCACCGTGCGGCACGGCGACGGCGACGGCGACGGCGACGGCGAGTCGGAGGGCGGCAGCACTCAGGTATGACGTATGGCTAAGACGCTAAGTCAATCATTGCCAGAGATGAAATGTGGTGGTAGGTGTTGCACGGTCGGGGATAGTGTATGTTTGCTTTCGTTTGGACGTATCCATCGACTATCGACCAGCCAGCAGAGAATCCCGAATTTTGGTATATTGGTCTCCTTACCATCCAAATGACGATTGAGACCGAGAGTTTCCGTCCCAATGCAAGGTACTCTTCTAAAGGAAAACTTTTTATCCACTCAGCGCATGCCCACATGGATTGGTCACTGATCCAATAATCCGCCATGCGCTACACTAAAAAAGCATTATGTCTTTATTCGACTTTTTTTTTTTTGCGAACTTAAGTTTTGCATTGCACTACTGCCGAACCAGTTTTTGCAGACGGGCAGAATTGATTTTCCGAGGCTCAAATCCTTCGCCTGTGTTAATCCCAATTTTCGGAGGCAAGCACCGTGCCAGCTTGTGCTAATCACAATTTTTTGAGGCAGGCATTGTAACCGTCTGCGAAAATAAATCACACAAAATTAAAAAGAAAAGAAAAAGCTCACTGGCGAACCCGAGCCCACCAGCGCCTCCGCTGACTACCTCGCCAGATCCGCGGATGCTGCCGGCTTCCATGAACCACCACTGCGCGCTTGGATCTCGCTGTCGTCTTCACACGCTCGGAAGGCCGCACGACTGCCGAAACGGAGACCGCCGCGCCACCGTGAAAAACCCTAGCACGCCGTGAGGGAGGCCGTCGCGCCGTCGTCTTCACGCCGCCACGAGAAACCCTAGTGCGCCACTACGAGGCCGATTAGATCTCGCCACGCAGCCGTGTGAGGCCGCCTTGCCGCATCAAGGCCGCCACCCCCTCCGCGAGTCTGATTTTAGCATAGAAGAGAGATGGATGCGAGAGAGTGAAGGAAACCCTAAAGTCCCTCTTCATATATAAACCCGGTAAGGTGGAATGGGTCGCGACTTCCATGGGTTTGGTTGGTCCTTGGTCTATTAACGGAGGCGGTCCTTAAGTGGTCCGCCTGTGAAAATAGGGAGGCCCGCCTACGTAAATCGATTTTATAAGACGAGCAATTATGACCGCCTTCGTAAATAAAATGCCCGCCTCTGTAAATTCATTTGGCGAGGCGGTCAAATAAGATGTCCGCCTCTGAAAATCCTCAGGTATTTTAGAAGGCACCTACTGTACATTTTTGTGACAGCCTCTGTTAATGAAACGACTTGTCTCGTAAAATCAATTTTTTAGTATTGTTACCATATTAGATAGTCGACTTTGATAGTTATTACTTTCCATAGTTTTATGTCAACGAAAACTAAAAGCATTTTAAAAGCCAAATAACCATATACTCCCTTCATCACTGAATAAATCAATTTCTAGAATTGTTCTAAATCAAACTTTCTAAATTTGATCAGAGCACAAAGATTTATAACATGAAATTACTGACATTAGACTATACAGCATAAATAGATTTTCATAACATGCTTACTTGTTTTCATAAATATTTGTGTTTTAAATATGAAAAAAAAAACTTAAGATAACTTTAGAATTTGATTTATCCAGGGACAAATGTAGTATATATGACTATAAGAGCCAAGTGTAGTATACGACTATAAGAGCCAGTTGCCAGTTGGAGCTTTCACCATAGGGTGATGCTAGGCTTGAGTTACCTAAAAACCGTTTCTGTTTGGAGACGGATTGGATCCGTCAGCTCTAAAATTGGATGCAAAAATAAAGAGCTAACTGATCCAAACATCCTAGTTATTGCCACACTCTCTATAGCCAAAATGTTGATGGGAGCGATTCCAAGAGACTCTATATCCCTCCTAATTTAGAGGAATTGAGATTTTGGTGAAAATACACTCCAATAGCTTTTTTTTATTGGATCTCTAAATATAGGCATCATTCCGGATTTCTCAAGATGGAGAGTGAGGATGTGGTTGTCTAAAGTGCACACAAGATACCGAAAAGTTATTAGAGGGTACAAAGATATAGAAAACGATTTTTTTCTCAAATAACCCAAAACGATAATTTAGAGAGTAAATTTTAGAAAGATTCTTGCAGATAGATGCTCTAATTATTAGCTACTATATGTAAACAACCCAACTAATAGCACAACGACAAAAAAAAATATTATATTAGCTCTCTCACTCTCACCTAGCAAAATTTGCAAGCAAACACGTCTTAGCCGACGAACGAACAGCGGCCATCCGTTTGTAATCAACAATCCAGAATGAGTGTTTACTATTTATATGTATTCATTCGTCACTGCCGGCCTCTCCTCGCATAAAGAACGCGCTACTTGCCAGTGCCGGCAGGCTCCTATCCTTGTCAATGTCCCCTCCTAGGTCCTAGCTGCCTCTCCTTTCTTGTTAGACTCTCAAATTTTGAAGCATCTCCCATGCTGTTCATCTCGTATGACCCAGCAGCCATCATTTGCATGCGACCCGCGCGCTTCGTCGCTTCGCTTGTCACTATCGCGAGGCTAGCTGCCTCCCGAACCAATTAATTGATGAAAAAAATGGCGCATTCCGATCGATCCTAGTATGTAATAACAATCTTGGTGCTCTGTTCCATAGATCTACAGGTTCGATTTCATAATCCTCTGTATCGGGAGGTATGGCGTGGCGAAGCTCCCGACGTTTGCTGACGGGAGAGGCTCCGAGGTGTTCCGCGGGCGAGTGCTCCATTCCATGGAGTACTCAGCCATGGCGCACGCGGACGCCGCCGAGCTGGTCAGGGGCAAGCGTGTCGCCGTGGTTGGCGCCGGCAAGTCGGCCATGGACATCGTCGCGCAGTGCGCCGAGGCAAACGGTGAGATCGATACGATCGGACGACTGATGCTTTTGCATTGCCTGCCTGCTGCTTCTACGTCTTTGCAAATTACTAAAGCACATCATTTGCGTTTGACAGGTAGCAGGTACCCGTGCACAATGGTCTACAGAAGCGCCCATTGGATGCTGGATCCTAAACTTGCTATCACCACCTCGGCTCGATGGACCGAATTGATGGTTCACAAGCCCGGAGAGGGGTTCGCGCTCAGCCTTCTCGCCACGGCACTCACTCCACTGGTAACACTCACTAGCAGTCTATGTCTAGCACTAGCTCATGTCATGCAAACACACACTGTGACACTGATCGATCGACTCCATCCATCCTGCTGCAGCGATGGCTTATCTCGAAGTTGGCCGAAGTCTGCTACAAGAGGAGCATCCCGATGCAGGAGCACGGGATGGTCCCGGACGGCAGCTTCTCGCAGGGGAGCCTGGGCTGGCGGATAGGCACACTCCCGGAGGGGTTCTACGACCGGGTGGACGACGGCAGCGTGGCGCTCAGGAGGTGCCGCGGCTCCGTCGGCTTCTGCGCGGACGGCCTCGTCGTCCTGGACGACGACGACGACGCCGTGGTGGGCGCCGACGTGGTCATCCTCTCCACGGGCTTCCACATCGACCGGCCGCTGCGGGACGTGTTCGCCTCCCCCAGGTTCGGCGAGATGGTCGCGCCGGACGACGGCGGCGCGGCCGCGGTGCTCCCGCTCTACAGGCAGTGCGTGCACCCGCGGGTCCCGCAGATGGCCGTCGTCGGGTACGTCGAGAGCGGCTCCAGCATCTACCCCTACGAGATGATGGCCAAGTGGGTGGCGCACCTGCTCGACAGCGCGGTCCGGTTGCCGCCCGTCCGCGACATGGAGCGCGACGTGGCGGAGTGGGCGCGGTGGGGCCGGTGGGCGAGGCGCGCGTGCGGGGCATTCTTCCTCAAGTCGTGCATCGCCTGCGTCACCACGTGGTACCACGACCAGCTCTGCCGGGACATGGGCCACCGGCCTAGGAGGAAGGCCGGCCTCCTCGCGGAGTGGCTACAGCCGTACGGCCCAACCGACTACGCCGGCATCCAGTGAAAGCTGTACTGTACTATACGAAGGATAAGGATCCAATCTTTACGTACTCATTTGAATACGCTAGGCCCATGTTCTTTACTCCAATTGGGCCCACTTATGCTGCTACCATAAGAAAGAAAAATTCATGAAAATACGGCGGCCTGAGTTTGTATTATAATAACAATTTTCCTTATGTTTATTTGATCGGACGCCTTTACTCATGATTACTTTAGAATCACAACACAAGATGTAGACATTCACACATACTATAAACGTTCGTACGCACATCCTACGTGTTTCTATGAGCATTTCTAAATAATTGAGCTGAGCTGTTAGATTTCAGGCACCTTGTGTCTACCAGCGAACTAAATTTTTCTATATTTATATCTATATCCACATGTTTTGACTCTGTAAGAAAATTAAAATAACTTATAATTTAGAATAGAGAGAGTACTATTTACCAAATATTAAATAGCCAAAAAATCCTCAAAATGTCCTCGCGTTGCATTTAGCGGTGCTACAGAGTCAGAACTTTAAGACGTACCGCATTCCATTGCAACGCACGGCGACATTTGCTACTAAATATATATTCATGAAAATATGAGATTGAACTTTCAGATTTCAAGCACCTCGTTTGCCAGCGAAAGAATAAAGATGCTAAATTTTATAATACACCGATGATGCGAGTGGGCAGATTAACCGCTAAACTAAGCCTAGTTCGCTTGACCATTTCCTGGTAAAGACAGCCAATGAATGGCTAGCCTGGAGGATCTTTCTCTTTGAGTTATTTTAGCGTAGACGCTGAATTTAACTAGTTTGACGTACGTACTCATTCAGTTACTTTAGTTTAAACCAGAACATACAAATTACGTTCCAAAAGTTACCCCGTACGTCAACAAGTGCCGGGAAATTATATTCCAGGGGAAATTAGGCCAATTACTGTCAGCTTGTCATAGGGCTTGATAAGGCACGGCCGATTTTTTTTTTTGTTTTTGTTTTGTTGTGTGTGTGTTCCCGTGCTGCACGCTTAGGAGGCTGAGAATTTCGTGCAAGCTTCGTCTCCCGGTAGTAATAACAATAGATAAAACTGGAGATGGTAGGCCAATTCTTTCCAAATTGCCTGTA